GCCACCCACCTCCCTTTACCTGACTACTCTGCTCACCCTCAGGTCTTAGGCCTACCATGGGCTCCCCAGACACCCACAGCAGTACATAGCAGTATGGCATGCAGCACTGGCCTGCTTTGTTATCTCCCCAGCATCAACACAGGGCCCAGCCTTACAAAAGACTTCATAAATATTTGCTAGATGAATGATTTTTGAGCTAGGGTTGCTCTGAACCACCCACTTCTATCCCTTCCTTGTCTGCTAATCTCTACATGTTACACAAGAGGAAGGAGAGGCACAGAGCTTGGAAAGAGCCAGAACTCCCCACCCCCATCCCCCATAATTTATCGCATGCATGCTGCCTTACTGATTCCCATCGCTATTCCTAGGGCCTCGTGCCGTGCTGAACGCTGCATGGGTGGACACTGGCACCCCTGCTCCTAGGAGCTCACAGCCTCAGGGAGCAGACTCGGGTCCAGTCGGGATAGAGCTCAGACTAGAAGACAGCCCAGCACCAAGTGGCTCCTAGGAGCAGGGCGACCTCTCACTCATGTGAGTCCAGGCCTGTGTACTACTTGACACCACGAAGCCACTAGAGGCACAGGAGAGTCAGAAGCAGAGCTGGAGATCCCAAAGCTTTGGATGGGGAGTCTGGAGCATTTGGAGAGGTTCTGGCGGGTCCAGCCCAGACCCTCAGGTGGGCTTCTTTGTGGAGTTTACTAGCAGTCACCACTGCGAGAGAAAGACTGGCCTGTATAAAGAAGAAGGCTTGGTCCAGGCTCAGGGACAGAGAAAGCAGGAAGGAAGGAGGTACTAGGAGAAACTCAAGTGGGCTTCACAGGGCAGTGCCAACTGGGTAAAGGAGATAGGCTCAGACAGGCTGGGCCTCAGGGCGATGCCAATGGCCAGGGCCAGGGGAATGAACAAAAGGTAGAAAAAGCTGAGAAGCCAGGTGCGAGGGGAGCAAGAGGAGCTTCCAGGGCCCCAAGAGCCAGCTGGAGATGTGGGTGATGAATGTGCAGAATGAGAGCCGTGAGCTCACGTGGGACAGGTTATGGGCAGAGAGAAGAGGACAGGCCCACGAGGGACAGTCAACCCACAGCCAGTGTGCAGGGCAGGGCCTCTACCCTGGAGAGCCCTCCAGGTCCTGGGGGATTTTTGTGAGCAGGATAAGAACTGTGATTCCTTGTCATCCCCTCCCACAAACTACAGAGAGACTCAGGATCAGTAAAGTGGGGTGAGGCCCTCTGTGTGACTCCAACCTCTCAGCCTTCAAGGAAGGAAATCCAGTTCAAATTGGTTTAAGCAAAACTGATTCTCATGGGTAGAAAGCTTAACCATTGTGTCAGTTTTCCATCACTGTGACAAAACACCTGAGAAAAACAGTTTAAAAGAGGAAAGGTTTACTTTGGCTCATGGTTCCAGAAGTTTCAGTCAATGGTTAGATGATTTCACTACTTCTGTGCCTGGAGTCAAACAGAAATGTGTTGGCAGAAGGCTGTGGTGGAGGTAAGCTGCTGATTTCATGGAGGCTAAAAAGCAGAGAACCTGTGGTGTGGGCTTCCTCTTTTGTTCCATCCTGGTCCCCAAGCATATTCAGGTGGCTCTCCGTCATCAGTCTAGGGTCTCACACACCAATCATCTCTGGAAACACCTCCATAATCACACCAAGAAGTGTGTTTTACTGATTTCCTAGGTGTTCCTAATCCACTGAAGTTGACAATCAAGACTGACATCATAGGCACAGATGAGTTTCCAGCCTATGACACCAAAGGGCTTCCAATGGCATCAGGCCATGGTCTTTCACCATTGACTGCCTTCCCTGTTGGCTTCATTCTCAGGGTCCATCTTATTTCCATAGTGGCAGGAGTCACACTGTGACCCCAGCCAACACTCTGTTAGCCCATCCCAAGGAAATAGGTTCTCAGTCAGTCCAAACTGATTCTCATTGCCTGAACTGGGTTGCTCCCCATCTCTGACCAACAGGTTCATTGGTCAAGTTAGTTCATATGCCCTAGGGCCATATTGGGGAATAACCCTGCCAGAGCCATGTAGACAGAGGAAGGGTCTCCAAAGGAAACTGAGCCACCGTTGCCAGGAGAATGGGGAATAGGGTACATCAGGTAAAACAACCCATATCTGTTTTCCTGGGACCTCCAGGTGCGAGCCCCCAGGAGTCTGACTACTGCCTCTGACATAGGGAGCTGCGGGGAGAGGAGTGTCCGGGTAAGACCCACAGCAGGCTCTTAGCAACTCCGGGATGATGCAGACTTTGGGAATAAAGGGGTGTGGTATGAAAACCATGGTGACAACAAGACAAGTGGAGCTCATTCCATAAAACTGGGTTCAGAGCCAAAGGCAGGATTTTACAAGGCAGAAGACAGGAGAAGGAAGATGACCTGCCTGGCAGACAGCAGCAAATGTGTGGAGGAGAAAAACTAACTCAGAAAACTCCTGAAGAACTGTCCAGATTTATGCACAGGGGCGTTTTCCCTTAGCAGTCCAGCTCGGTTCCCAGAGTGACCATTTTCATCCAGGAGTATAACTGTGACCAAAGCTAGCAGTGAGAGCCCTCTGCCTTTTGCTGCATATCAGAGATTGTATTTCCTGGGGACTCTCTCTAGGTCCCTGTCCTTCTTTCTGGGGATCCCCCAGAGACCCTTTCTTTTCTGACCTGGCACCATCTCATGGATTTCATGGCTCTGCCTCATGTGGTGATTGCACGACGATGTGGCTTAATTTCCCCATTGAGTTCTGAAGTCCTGGAAGGCCAGGTCATTTCATTCATCTCTAAGTCTCCAGGCTGGGATCCTTTGCTCTGAAAAAAACAAGAGCCAAGAGCAGTTTAAGGAAAGCCCAATTTGCTGTAGCACTTATCTGGGAAAGTCAGTGTTTAATCAGAGGAATTCTCTGCGGTCAGAATTTCAAACAGAACCAGAGAAGGAGAAGGACATCCAACTTCCCGCAGGAAGTCTTGGTTGGCATAAGCTGTCACCCAGCCATTGGGAGTAAACAGAGGCTAACTGCCACTTGTTGGCTTCTTTGTGGGATACAATTTTTCCCCATTCCACATCTGGGAGCCCAGAGGAGGTTCATCCTACATGGTACTGGCAGTGACACCATGTATTGAGTGCCTATTATGTGTCAGACACTGTGCTTTATATGCTTTATATTCCTTATTAAATCCTCCCAAATTGGTAGACACTTTTATTATAAGCCCATTTTATAAATGAGAAAACAAGCTTGGAGACAGTGACTCCAGAATAATGGAATATGATTTATGTCTGGGTTTTTTTTTTTTACTTCAGTGGTCCCAGGAAACTCTGGGGGAAACTTTTCCAATGTTGGGGTCCACAATGCCGGCACGTTCCCCTCCCCTCTCAGCTCCCACTTGCAAAACCACTATAGCCTCATACTGTTTATGTTTCCCTGCCTTAGCATTCAAAGGCCCCTGACAACCTGAGAAGGAAAAGACCAGCTTGCTGTATAAGCAAGGACTGAAACTGATTTTCAGTTCAATTCCTTTATATCCACCTGGAGGGGAGTGAGGAAGCCCCAAATTTCTGAATTTCCTAGTCTGCAATGTCCAGCTGAGAAACTCTCCAGTGCCCCCTAGTGGGCACTGGGTTCTCAAGGGTTAGGGCACAGGATGTCCCAGGGCACCGATTTAGGAACAAAGGTGCACTTAACTCAGTGACACAGCAAAGAAATCTTAGAGCTGAGATTGGAACCCAGAGCTCCTGGCCACCCAGGCCTTGCTGCCCCCTTTCTCTCCCTGTACCCCTTCATGGTAGTAATGTTACAACACTTATTACTTACGACATAGTTACTATGTTACAAGTTCAAGACACTGTGTTAAATGTGTCACTTCTGTTAGATGTGCTGTGATACTGTATTCCACATTAAACTCCCACCTGTCCAGAGCACAGGGTGAAGCTTGTAACAGCCCCCCACCTCCCATTCACATTCAAGGGCCAGCGTTCTCTCCCCTGCCTGGCTCCAGCTTTCTTCAAAAACACAATCGCACCACCTCATTTGCAGGAATAGTCCACAGGCACAAGGAGATAAAGTTTCTTGGGACACAAATCTTAAAGTGGCCAGAGGTGAGAAAGGAAGAGAGAAAACTACAAATGCAAAATAGCCTTCAGCTTCTCTCTAAGGGAATGCGGCTGGGAATAGGACATCACAGCATGAAGGGGAAAGGGTAACAGGGCGGCAGGGCTCCTGCAGGGATGGAGCCCGAGTGTAACAGCTGCTCACCTTCGCTGGCCAGCCAAGGTGAGTGCGCAGCCTGGTCCAGGACCAGCACAGGGGCCAGGCGCACGGCCCTGGATCTGTGCAAGCAGGACGGACACAGGTCAGGACCTGCAAGCTTGGGTGTGAGCCCGGGCTCCTCTTTTCTTCTTTATCCTGTGAAGTCTCGGTCTCAGAAGACAGAAAGGGACGCTAGGTCTACTGGCCCCTGCAGGCTGTCTTTTCACCCCAGAGTCAAGATGTAGATGGCAGATAAATTCTCCTCCTCAGAGTGATGGAGAGGATATAGAACTCGGGTACAGAGATAAAGGTGGGGTCAGTAGGTGGGAGGAGCAAGAAGTGTAGGGGGTCATGCGATGTCAGGGGAGAGGTTCTGGTATGCTGCTTGGAACACGAGGTCCGTTTGGAAGCCCTGCCCATGACTCGGCCAGGTGTCCCGAGCATCCCGAAGGCCGACCTCGAGTACCGCCGGGAAGGTAGAGGGCGGCAGGAGGCTAATGGGCTCTTGGTGTGAATCTGGAGAAGGGAGAGGAGAGCAGCCCCGGTTCCAATCCACACACCCTTCCTGCCTATAAATAACCCCAAGTGTCACTTCAAAGAGGACAGGGAGCGCTGGAGAGGGGCTCCTGGGCCGGCAGGCGGGTGCAGCGGGCCCCCGCACACCACGCCCCCCACCCTGGGCGAGTTTGCATAAATAAACAAATCCCAACCGCCTGCCCCGCAGGAGGTGGAGGAGGAGTGGGGAGGAGGAGGAGGGAGGGGGCGGGAGAGATTAGTTTGGGAAGTAGCACGGATTGCTCATCCGATCCGTGCAGCCGCAGGGAGTGTGTCAAGTTACAGAGGCGCCGGAATCTGCCCCAGCGCTCCTCGGCGGCGGCCGCGACCCACCTCTGCCAGTGGAGCCCTCCGAGAGCGCCCCTGCGCCAGGGGACTGAAACTGGCTGGCCGGGGGGACGCGAGATACCCAGCGGCTCCGACTTCGCGGCACCAACACGGGGATCTGCACGAGCTGGGAAGGAAGGGCGCGCGGAGAGCCGGCCAGATGCCCCTAACTTTCCTGGACTTGAAACGTTCTTCGAAATAACTTTTGCTCACTTTGCTGTACCCTGATTTCCGCTGGTCGTGACTTTCAGCTCTCCCTCCTACTGCTAATTTTTCCGGTCCTCTTTGCACGGAGCAAAGGAAAGGGACGTTCGCCAGCAACACGAGTCCTCTCCCCCCAACTCCGCAGTTTGGATCGCGCCTTGCGGCAGCGGCTCTAGCTTTTATTTATTCTATTTATTTATTTATTGGTTCTCAAGAGGCGAGGGGATGGTGGCGGAGCGCGCCCGTAAAGCTGACGCCGCTGGCGCCCGCGGCCCTGGGGAGCTAGGCGCGCCCGGCACGGTGGCTCAGGCGGAGCACTGCGCGCGGCTGCCGAGCCCGGGGTCGTGCGGGCTGCTGGCGCTGGCGCTGTGCTCGCTGGCGCTCAGCCTTCTCGCCCACTTTCGGACGGCCGAGCTGCAGGCCCGGGTGGCGCGCCTGGAAGCGGAGCGCGGGGAGCAGCAAATGGAGACGGCTATTTTGGGACGAGTCAACCAACTGCAGGACGAGGTCTGTGCTCTTTGTTGGCTTTCTTCCTCCCCGCGGCGCCCTCTCGCGCGGTCTCCGGACTGCACCGGCCCGAGCCCGCGGGCGCTCGCCCTCTGCACCGAGCGCTACGCCCGGGGCTCGCACCAGTTGTCTGTGGGAGGACCTGGGCACAGACAGACGCCGCCCTGCCAGGAGCCTGGAGCCCCGGGGCGGCGGGAGCGTGACCCCGGTTCCCGCCCTAGACAGGCGACTCCGGTGCCCCACGCTGGGAGCGCCCTGGGCGCGCGGGACGGGCGGAGGAAGGCAGGGCGCGCGAAGCTGCGCGGAGGTGGGCAGGCTGGGCTGCGCCCCTCGGCCCAGGCGCGGGTGGCGTGAGCAGCCCCGCGCCCACGCGGCTGAAAGCGAGCCCTGCTCCCCGGCCGCAGCACGCAGCACCCCAACGCCCCACCCCCCACGAGGATAGGTGCCGGCCTGTTAGGGTGACATCGGAAGAGGAAGAGGAGTCGGCCAAGTGTGCTGGCCTGGGGCGAAGGGCACAGTCTTTGCGGGAAGTGGCGTCTCCGTCCTGGCCCAAAAGTGGGTCGCCAGGCTGTGCTCTCCAGGGTCACAACTGAGCTGAGTTCCTCAGCTGGGTGTTTTACTCAGGCGCCTCTGGAATGGCCCCAAACACTTTTTTGGGAGAAAGATGCTGAGCTTACTTTGATCGTAAACGGTTAGAAGGTGCCTATGTGTCCCTTAGCGCGATTTGGGGACTGCAGGAAAAGGCACCGCCCTCCCCAGGAAGGAAGCATCTGCCTCCTTGTGCCACCAGAGGAAAGGCTGGACCTTGAGAGACTGAGGGCTGGGAACGTGCGAGGTGTCAGGGGGCACGGAGGTCTCAGACTCTGTGGAACAGGACAGGAAAGGGAGGGCCTGCAGACTGGGTGCTCTCCGGAGCAGGCTGGACTGGAAGGTTCCTGTGGGGAGGTGTGGGGAGGGCCTCTGACTTAGCAGGAGGTAGGGCGAGCTGTGAAGAGCAGGGCAAAGCCTGCAGCTACCTGGATTCTTGTTTCCATTGCTATTTAGAGGCTGTGCAGTTTGGGTCTAGTATCCTAACCTCTCTGCGCGCTTGCTGATGATGGCAAACTTTGGAGCCCAGCTCTAACTGGTGGGCATTCTGGTAGAACACACTGGTTCCCCACAACCAGGCTTCTCTCCAGGGCCTCTTGTCCCTCACCATTCCTCAGGATGGTCAGGGAAGGGAAGACTACCCGTAGGCCAGGGCAGAGAGGATGCCACAGGGCACTGGTGTTATTGGTGCCCCACAGCTACTGCCAGTCAGTTCATTCCCACACCCCACTCTCCCCCAGAGAATCCACCCACCCGTATTTGTTCCCTGAGTCTGGGGCAGGCTCTGGGAGCCGCTGGAGGAGTAGGCGGCCTCACTGGCTGGTGGAGTGTGCAGAAGGCCTTGGCTGGCAGGAAAGAGGGCACCAGTGCCTCTTGGTACCTTGGGGACCCTGACTGTGCCTGGACCAGCATCTGACCTCAGAACTTAAACTTGCCGCCCTCTTGCAGTGGTCAAGGTGAACCCGCCCATCTTGGCCTCCTGATTCTCTGTTCAAGCCAGGCTGCTCTTGGCATGGGGCTGACTGCTTCATCCTCCCCCATGGCCGCAGGATGTTCACCCTGCTGACTTCTGGGCCTCCTCATCTGCCAGAGCTAAAAGTCATCCCCAAAGGTCATCTAAAGTGACCCTCCTTTTACAGTGGGAAATCCGAGGCCTAAAGAAGGGCAGTAGGTTGCTCAGGTCAGGTATGAGATCCAGACACCAGAACCGAGGTTTGCAGACCCCGTGGACAGTGGTCTTTCCATTGTGTTCTGCCGGTGTTTACTGAGGGCCAGGTACCAGCCAGGCTTCGTGGGAGATGTGCTTCTGCCCCTTCCACATAATGGCAAGTGGAACACAAAAGGAAAATGGACAGTGTCCGTGCTGTGTGGAGAATGCGACCACAGTGGAAGAGGGGAGGCCAGGAAACATTCAGTGTAGCCTGGTGGTGGTGGCAGTCATGGTGGTCTTCCTGGGAAAGTGATCTTAGGGGAGCAGGTAAGAAAGAAGCAGGAGATAGTCAGGCAAAGGGGTGAGTGTAGGCTTTGCACTAAGGCTGGAGCCAGAGGGAGGCGTTTGCCTTGAGCTGAAGAAAGTCCAAGACCTTGGAGCTGGGAGGGAAGGAGGTGGAGGGTGTGGCTGGAGAGAAAGGGGAGCCCCACACGAGAGGGGCTTAGAGACAGTGAGAGCCATATGAGGGTGGTAGGGCCACTGAAGGGCTTTGAAGAGGGCACTTTTGTCCCTAGAATGAGAGTTTAAGGTGGGCAAATCAGTGAGGACAAACAGGAGGTTGTTGTAAACTAAGAGGCCATGATCAGGACTGGGGGAGAGAGAGGCAGAGAGGGGTGACTGGGCACAGTGGCCACAGTCTCAGGATCTGAGGTTGGCATGGGGATCAAAGGGAGGGAGCTGTCCTGTGGGCAGAGGCCTGGCCCCTGTGGGCATGGGGCCTCTCACATGCATCCCATAGAGTAGCCACCAGCCACATGTCACTTCTTATATGTGACTTAATTAAAATTAACTGAGATTTAAATTTCCTTGGTCACACAAGCCCTTTTCGGGCTGAGTGGCCAGGATAGCTAGTAGCTACCACACTGGGCAGGGTGGTAGATGCTATGCCTGATGTGTTGCTGCAAGAATCCTCTCCAATGGCGCTGTTCTAGGGGCAGCTTCTAGGCCTGCAGAGATGTCCCAAAGCCACTTGAGGGAACCCACTCTTAGCCTTTCCTTTCCCGGGAGTGTCTTCAGATCTAAGCAAAGAGCTGAGGAGGTAAGGCCTGGGGGTCAGGGGGACAGGAGCAGGCGAGGAGAGGGACAGGTGCAGGAAAGTGGCCACCTGGCTTTGCTGTCAGCATGGTGGTATAGAGGGTCCCCCCTCTCCTGGGTACACAGGCAGTTGGTGAGCTCAGGGGGCCAAACTCAGGATTCTGTTGGCTATGTGGCCTCCGGTGAGCCCTATAAGCTGCACTAGGTCTCCTCCCCGAGACCCTTGGATTGGCAGCTAGGGGCAGCACCTGAGAGGTGCCATTGCCAAAAGCCAAGGTCAGGACCCAGTGAGCCCTTGGAGTCTCCCGGGGCTGTGCCAGGTAAGCCTGGACCGTGCCTGGAGGTTGGATACAGGGCAGGGGACAGGGAGGCAGGGGCACTTGAAACAAGGTGAACACAGAGACTGAATGTGTGCCAGGCAGGAGGGAGAGGCAGGGAGGACAGGCTGAGGCGATGACACTGGTCAGGTGGGTCACAGCCGGAAGGGGTGGGGAACAGGGAGAACCCCTCCCCCAGCTGTGTCTATCTCAGGTCTGGGACCCTTAATGAGCACTCCAGCTGCTTGTCGTGCTTGCTGTAAAGAAAGACACTGGAATGTCCCAAATGGAGAAAATCAGATGACACCTAGAGCTGACAGCAGTGTGCAGGGAAAGAGAAGAGATTAAAAGTAGCCAAATCTACTCTGTGGGGCCCGGGGAGCAGAGGAAGATCTCAGCCTCCACCTTCCAGGGGAATTTTGCTGATACCAGGCAGACTCTCTATCCCTCATAATAAAACAGCTGTAGCAGGACTATTGCTGTGCCTGTCGCAAAGTTCGCTGTTCTTGATCCTCCTAGTTTCCCAAGGGATTGATGCTCTCATTACCCCATTTTACAGATAAGGAGACTGATGTCATTGTCCCTCCCTCTCACTATCTATGACTCATTCTTCAGGCATGGAGAAGCCCTCCTAGGAGAGGGAGTGGTTGAAACTTCTAGGTTAAAATATCGATGAGCCCCCAGGCAGACTCCCTCATTCCTAAAAATAACACCTGTCAGATAAATGGCCTTATATCTATAGGTGCATACAGAGGCCTTATATTGAGTCCTTTTCAGAAGAGGTGGTTAGAGGAGAGATCATAGCAGTGGTTGGAAGGTTGGGGCTCTGGACAGGGTCCCCTAGGATGGGAATGCTGGAATGAGGATGGGCGCAGCCCCTGAAAGGGTTGGAATATGCCCGCATGCCTCCAGTCCTAGCCCCAGCTATAGACTTGTCTCGGGGAGCGTTCTCTGGAAGGGGGCCTTCACAGCAGTCCACAGAGGGGGAGATGATTAATGCCCATAAGCCAGGGGTCCCTGCTGGGAGAGTGGGGGTCACTCAGTGCTCTGACTTCCCACCTGGATAGAGCAGCCCCTGGAACCCACCCCCCACCCTCACTGCCAAGGTCAGGAGCTGTGTTTTCATCAAGTCATGGTGACTGTGACCATGACCTCCTTCCTCAACACTGAAGGAAATGAGGTGGAGCCTAGGGCCACAATTTGTATTAATAGCTACTGTTTATGAGTGCTTATTCTGCAGCCAGGCATTATTCAAAGAGCTTTCTACCTGTGGGTCCACAAAATCTTCACAATAATCCTATGAGGTGGTTACTGCTTTTACAGTTCCCTTTCCACAGAAAAGATCAGGGCAGCCTGGAGAGGTGCAGTAACTTCCCCAAGGTCACACAGCTAGTGAAGAGCAGAGAGAGACCTTGAACCCTGGCCGTGTGGCCCCTGAGCTGTCACTGCAAGGCACCAGGCTCTACTCATAGGCTTACACACCATATCTAACTGCTGAGGCCGGGTCCAGTCAGGGCTGGGACGGTTCAGGTGGGTTCGCTCCCAGAGAGGCTAGGTGTCGGGCTGACATCGGGTCCCTGTTGTAAGAACCCTCCTCGCCTGAACCTGATGAAGAGCCTGTCCAGGCCTGGCCTCTGGACTGCCTGTCAGGGGTGGGTTTGTTCTGTCTCTTGGGATCAGCAGTGGCTTAGCACCCAGTCTGGGCTTCACCCAGCGGCACATCGTGGTCCTTTAGGCCAAGTTTTGTGTAAGTTTCGATTCCAACTACTTGCTCACCCGGTCCTTATTTCGTTTTTTCCTGTCTTACCTTCTCTGTCTTCCTAAATAGTATCCGTCTCTCTGTCTGTACC